CGGATATTCAGATTTATCAGACATACTCTGTTTCCTTTCTTTTTCCCTTTTTTGTCTATTTCTTTAAACACCTATGTTTGAAAGGGTTCTTCATGGATATTCTGCACTGCAAATTCCCCTTTTAACTCATTTTACCTCTTGGCTGAAGAATGAAATCCAATTTTGACAAACTGGGAAACCATATGCACATGGTTGTTACAATGTTAAACATCCTATGGTTACTTATTTAGCTTTCTTTTAACACAATAGAGGTTCCTTTCATTTAAAAAAATAATAATAAGAATCGTGATCATATTTGATTAGGTGGAATATGGTTACCATGATTTTCATTTTTCATATTCAATTCTGGGCAATAAAATATATATATATATATATATATATATTTGACATCACATCTCTAGTTAATTCATTTCATGGTTTCTTCAAAATCTCTTGCAGGAGATAGCTAGGCCATCAAATCTGTCTGCTACCCCGGTGCACCTGAATATTCAAGATGATCACGTAAATCTTTTTTTGAATCATTGGGTTATTTTATCTCTTGTATATTATAAATATATATATATATATATATATTATGGTCTTCAATAGATTCATAAGAATCAAATCATATATCTCAAAATTTTACGCGGCTCCTTGTCTCAATGCACTCTCAATAGTACAATCGTGCCTCCAAATGCTACATATAATATGTAGGTATCATGGTCTTCAATGATTCACAAGGATACAAACTGAATCACGTGTCTTGGATTTTTCTTCTCTTTTTGTGTCAATGCATTTGCAACAGTAAAATCATGTCTCCAGATTATCATGTTTTGAGTTTCTCATATGAGATTTCGGAAGAGGGGATGTTTGGCTCATAAGAGTCCTACTTGGGATTGTTCATTACTATGTTATCATCATCATGTATAGAATGAAGCATCGTTTTGGTGCAGGTTGTGATAGACAATGGCATACTCCAACTCACACTGTCAAATCCCGGAGGAACCGTCACCGGAATAACATATGGTGGAATTGACAACTTGATCGAACTACATAATCAGGAATTGAATGGAGGGTACGTGCATCGATGGTTATATATCTATCTTTGTTCTTTCAATTCTTCTACATTGTGATTGAATTCTGTGCATTTAGAAAATTTCTAGTTCTTTTTCAATACCTTTCAGATGATGAAGCACAATCTTGGAAGGAACCCAGAGAACAATTAGGACAAGTCAGAAAAGCAGTTAGAATTTTTTCGGTTCTTTTTTAGTACTTTTCAGATGATGAAGCATAGTGTTGGAAGGAACCTAGAAAACAATTTTACAAAAGACAGCTAAAAAAGACTCTTTAGCCAAAACTAAAAAACTAGCTTAATTTTTGTCTTTTGTGTACTTCTTTCAACTTTGGAGTTGAATTTTTTTACCCTTTAGGTTTGTGTTGACTAAATGACTCTAAAAATTATCATAAAAAAGTTTACTAAATATGAAAATAAGTAGAGTTCTATATGGAGAAAAAAATTGGCCTATTTTTGTTTTTTTTTTGGATTTTTCTGAATTTTTTTAAGTTTTGGGATCGTCTAGTCGAGACAGATCTAAAGACCAAATAAATCAAACTACAATAACCGATTCCCAAAAGAAAATGTGTGACAACTGTTTTAGAAAACATAATCATTTTTCATTTGCAGAAATTCATACACAGGTTTGAATAATCAGCTATTAAATTGATGCAACTGGTAGTTAAAAGAGAAGGTAAGTTTATGTTCCGGTGGACTGTGCAGGTTCTGGGATCTTAATTGGAGCGAAGCAGGAAGTCCAGGAATGTAACCCCCCCTCAACCCAATAATTTTTTTTATCTAGCTAATAAATTCTTAGTTGGGTTGCATCCAAGTGTACAATACATCCATTACTTGTACAAATGCTGCTATGATTATTTAATTGACTAATTTTTTTTTTATGCTTTGGGTGTTCATGGTGCAGATATATGCGGTTTCTATTACTATTCGTATTGTGGTAAGTGTTTTAATTTAGGATGATAACTGAAACGCTTTTAAAAAAATTATTTGCACTTTTACTAGCATAATTACATATTTTTTGATAGGATCCTCTTGTCATGGATTGTGGTCTTCCTTGTACCTAATTCTCTTTTATCTCTGTTTTGATAGCTTGGTTTTATGTTGCTCGCCCTCATATGGAGGTTTGATTTCCCACCCTTCATGGTGCTGATCATTGCCATCCTCAATGATGGTTTGTATTTTGTCACACTTTACTTACCTTTTCTACATGTAGATTCATGCATATTTCTTCTCATTTTCTTGTCATTAGCCTCGATTTGTGTGTGTGTGTGGGGTTCTAAATACATACTATCTATATGGCATGCCAGGTACCATCATGACAATATCAAAGGATAGGGTGAAACCATCTCCTCAGCCTGATAGCTGGAAGCTGGCAGAAATTTTTGTAACTGGAGTCATTCTTGGTGGTTACTTGGCCATGATGACAGTCATTTTCTTCTGGGCAGCATACAAGACAAACTTTTTTCCTGTAAGAAAACTTATAACTATAGTAAATGGGTCATGAAATAGTTGATTGGATACACCTGATAGGTTATATGCCAAAGGATTTCATATTTTGTGAATTGGTGACCAGCCCTGGTCCTGGCTTAACATAGTAGTTTAGATTTGCTAAATATTGATATACAGTTTTCATTAATGAGACATTTTCAAGAATGTATGATGTTCATATGCTTGTTATTTGCATTTTATTTTAGGCTCTATGTAATTGATAAATCCAAAATTTTGAAGTGTGCCTGATCTTGTGAAATTTTGAAAATGCATTCCAAATTGAGGCGCCTTCACTGCTCCTGTATGCAATTTTTATTATTTACTTCTAGACTGAAGTCTGAATGATTCTTCTTTTCACTGATCTATCAGTGTTATGCTTGGTCTTGAGACATATTTTCCCCTCCTTTTGTGTAATTTCCAGCGTATATTTGGGGTTTCAACTCTTGAAGCAACAGCTCATGATGACTTCAGGAAGCTTGCATCAGCAATATACTTGCAAGTGAGTATCATCAGTCAGGCCCTAATATTTGTGACACGTTCTAGGAGTTGGTCTTTCGTTGAACGTCCTGGCCTTTTGCTAGTGGTGGCTTTTGTTGTTGCTCAGTTGGTAAGTGAACTGCTATTTTCTATTCTTTTCTTTATTTTTTCCAGGCAAGTGCATCCTAAGTCCTAGTTACTTGAAGAATCACCTTTAGAATAAACTTTCCGTTTGTGTGAGCAGGTTGCTACACTGACAATAGAGGATTGATTTCAATTCCTTTTTGTGAAATCAAGAGATCAGTTGGCTGATGTTTTCAATGAAGGTTTTTGTAGTAGGATTTTTTACCATTGTTTATGCTTAGTGTTGGTTAGTAGTAGTTTGAGGCATAATTGTGTACTTTTGACATATATAATAGTATAGATATATATACTAGTGTTGATGCATTTGTAATATTATATTAAACTTTTCATTAGTTTGATGGTTGAAGAAAATTGATTAGCTGTTTTGGTGATTTTTGATGAGGGTCCTACTAACAAGGCACAAGAAAAAGACCAAAAAAAAGTGCACTTTTTATTGATTTCATAATTTCACCCTTTTTTAAACTATAATAATTTTTACACAAATCTCAAACAATGCCGATGGGGCACTTATTAGCATTTGACTGTGATGAATGAAAAAAATCGTTTTACAGCTTTTGACTGTGGTGATAATTGAATGTGAATGATATTTTTGAAAAAATAAAAAGCGTGACAATGTTCGCACTAAATTAGGTGTATGGTTTATATAGTAAAATAGTTGTATATGTTTGTTTTTACATACATGTATACCTTTCTTTTTGTGAGATGTACTCTTTCCTGTGGCAACATTGTTGATTGAATATATGCTTGAACTAGTTCCTGTCTCTTTTAGTGCCAATACATTGCTGTGATATTGCTAGCTATTCAACTACCAGAACTATGTGAACTTTGATGGCATAAAATTTTGAATCCCAAACTTGTCATCATGCGAGAGAAACTTGCAGTCATTCTACCCAAAAGAGAAATGGATGAAAAAGAAAAACATGAAGCAATGCTCAATTTCCATTCCTTGTTCAATTGAAATGTATTTTATGGAGTTGAGCTTGTTCGGCCAACTTCCTAAACTAATAGTACTCTGCTTCAGAGTTAAATTAAGTAACAAAAATAAAGAGAAAAAATATGCAACTTGGATCAAAGGGTCTAAATATACAGTTTACAAATTGAGATTTGCTTTGTAGAACCAACTAAATTACAAAAAGAAGTTGCATATGTCAAATACGATGGCACTCATTGAACAATGGAACCACTTATATTATTCAAGTAGTAGTTTGATTTGCTTCATGTACAGCTTACAAAAGTGTTGATCTAGAGATTTTGACGGATTGTATAATGCATATGTCAAATACAATGGCACTCGTTGAACAATGGAACCACTTAACATTATTCAAGTACTAGTTTGATTTGCTTCATGTACAGCTTACAAAGGTGTTGATCTAGAGATTTTGACGAATTGTATAATGCATATGTATTGAAGATTGCAGAATGTGAGAAGGAAATATTAGAAGCAAGGGCAATGGTGGAAGAAGCACAGCGCTCTCTAAACATTGATGGAGATGATTATGCTATTATTGAGGAGGTAGAAACTGAAGAAATCAATAGAAATGAAGAGAGGTCGGAGTCTATAAAAGCTGCTTCTATTTCTGCCTTAGTTGGCAGTCTTGCAGGGCTCCCCATTTTCTTCACTCAAGTAACCGACATTTCTCAGCTAATTCTCCCTTTAGCAACCACCTTCATCAGCTGTGCTCTATTTGGAGTTACTTTTCGATATGCAGTAAGTTTGGGTTCTGATCATGAAGTTGTCTGACACCTAAATTTAGCTGGGTACAAGTTATTTTTTGAGTTGGGTTGCATCCAAGTGTACAATACATCCATTACTTGTACAAATGCTGCTATGATTATTTAATTGACTAATTTTTTTTTTATGCTTTGGGTGTTCATGGTGCAGATATATGCGGTTTCTATTACTATTCGTATTGTGGTAAGTGTTTTAATTTAGGATGATAACTGAAACTCTTTTAAAAAAATTATTTGCACTTTTACTAGCATAATTACATATTTTTTGATAGGATCCTCTTGTCATGGATTGTGGTCTTCCTTGTACCTAATTCTCTTTTATCTCTGTTTTGACAGCTTGGTTTTATGTTGCTCGCCCTCATATGGAGGTTTGATTTCCCACCCTTCATGGTGCTGATCATTGCCATCCTCAATGATGGTTTGTATTTTGTCACACTTTACTTACCTTTTCTACATGTAGATTCATGCATATTTCTTCTCATTTTCTTGTCATTAGCCTCGATTTGTGTGTGTGTGTGGGGTTCTAAATACATACTATCTATATGGCATGCCAGGTACCATCATGACAATATCAAAGGATAGGGTGAAACCATCTCCTCAGCCTGATAGCTGGAAGCTGGCAGAAATTTTTGTAACTGGAGTCATTCTTGGTGGTTACTTGGCCATGATGACAGTCATTTTCTTCTGGGCAGCATACAAGACAAACTTTTTTCCTGTAAGAAAACTTATAACTATAGTAAATGGGTCATGAAATAGTTGATTGGATACACCTGATAGGTTATATGCCAAAGGATTTCATATTTTGTGAATTGGTGACCAGCCCTGGTCCTGGCTTAACATAGTAGTTTAGATTTGCTAAATATTGATATACAGTTTTCATTAATGAGACATTTTCAAGAATGTATGATGTTTATATGCTTGTTATTTGCATTTTATTTTAGGCTCTATGTAATTGATAAATCCAAAATTTTGAAGTGTGCCTGATCTTGTGAAATTTTGAAAATGCATTCCAAATTCAGGCGCTTCACTGTTCCTGTATGCAATTTTTATTATTTACTTCTAGACTGAAGTCTGAATGATTCTTCTTTTCACTGATCTATCAGTGTTATGCTTGGTCTTGAGACATATTTTCCCCTCCTTTTGTGTAATTTCCAGCGTATATTTGGGGTTTCAACTCTTGAAGCAACAGCTCATGATGACTTCAGGAAGCTTGCATCAGCAATATACTTGCAAGTGAGTATCATCAGTCAGGCCCTAATATTTGTGACACGTTCTAGGAGTTGGTCTTTCGTTGAACGTCCTGGCCTTTTGCTAGTGGTGGCTTTTGTTGTTGCTCAGTTGGTAAGTGAACTGCTATTTTCTATTCTTTTCTTTATTTTTTCCAGGCAAGTGCATCCTAAGTCCTAGTTACTTGAAGAATGACCTTTAGAATAAACTTTCCGTTTGTGTGAGCAGGTTGCTACACTGACAATAGAGGATTGATTTCAATTCCTTTTTGTGAAATCAAGAGATTAGTTGGCTGATGTTTTCAATGAAGGTTTTTGTAGTAGGATTTTTTACCATTGTTTATGCTTAGTGTTGGTTAGTAGTAGTTTGAGGCATAATTGTGTACTTTGGATCACTTCAATATAAATGCTTTTGTTTATGGTAGGGAACCTTAATTTTGGGTCTCTTATTAGCCATGTTTACATTTACCATTGTGATTCCCCCTTACTTATTTTGCATCCCTTTTTTATTTCCATTGATTTTGTGGCTTGATTTTCATTGTTGTTGGTTCTGTTTCAGTAACCTATGGAGGACTACATCTGAAGAAAAGAGAGAGTTGGAGCGTCTGGAAAAACCCATATATAATTCTGTTAGTTGAGCTGCAGAAGTTCATCATCAGGTTTCTATTTTCTAATTGCTCTTATATGAAACAATGCACATACAACTGCTAATATAGAAACAAAGGAATCTACTTTCTGTTAATGCTGGCGAAAACTTCAGTGAGGATTTCTACATCTGGTTTATCACATAAAACGTTTTGTTTGCCTGCTTTTAGGTTTGAAAATACATCAAAGGTATTTTGAAGCCTGGATGTTAATGATTGACTTATGTGAAACCCTGGAGAATACCGTCCGGAAGTTGATATGGGAGAATAGTCTACAAGCAGGCATTGCGTTCCCTACAGGGTGCTCTTTGAATTTGTAGACATTTAGTCTGGCATATGAAGATCTTTCTGGGTTCATTTTTTATTTTTTATTTTTATTTTTATTTTTGCAATTTTTTTAGAAAAAATGGTGTTTTGCTAAGTATTGGGTATGAATTCTTCAATTTGTGTTTATTTTGGTGAATCTCATTACAGTTTATGTTATGATGCAGGCATGTAGACCACTAAAGACTACAATTTTAATGCTAAGACATGATTTTTGGATATATGTTAGTTTGTGGTTAATGTTAAGACATAATTTTTGGATATATGTTAGTTTGTGGCTAACGTTAAAACATGATTTTTAGATTTTGGATATGTTAATTTTGTGGGTAATGGTGATTGGATATTAATTGAATGAGAAAGTGAATTAATGCTTCATTACAACTATTTGAATGGGAGTTGTTATTTTATATTAGTGCTATTGCAAATATTTTTTTAGTTCAATCAAATAAAATTAGTACAATTTAAAAAAAAAAAAAAAAAAAAATGATATGATGGCGTTTCTACAAACGCCTCTTAAACCTTACATACTAGCGGTCATATTTGTTAAAAAAAGATATGACGGCGTTTTTCCAAAAACGTCGCTAAATGTCGTCAGTGGAGGACATTTGACATTTGGCGCGTGTGTTTAGGAGGACATTTGGCGGCGTTTTTAAAACGCCGCCTATACTAATATCACGACGTTTATAAAACGCCATAAAGCTATAGCGACGGCCGCGTCCTCGGCGTTTGGTGCTAAGCGTCACAAAAAGAATTGGCGGCGTTTTGGACACTTTTAGCGGCGTTTTTTAAACGCCACTAAAAGCTGAATTTCCTGCAGTGTAATGAACGCAGATACCCAAGATAAAAATAAACGCAACATAATTTATGTGGTAAAATTATACTTTACTCACCTCAACTCCCTTGCTTTGTCTTGTAATATGCAAGAACATGTCAAAAAACAAGCCATTCTAAACATCAACCTTCTCTTATAGTATATAGATAGAGGCAGAGATATAAATAGATAGAGTAGATGTAGAAATATTATAAGCAGTGTTTCTAGGACCAGGCTGAGATTCTATTGAAATAATAATAATGCTACCTTCTTTAATTTATCATTGGCTCTTAATGATGTGATATTAAGATTGAATCTTACATGACGAAATATTTAATAAATTAAAATATTTAACTGGTTGACGTAACAACATTGTTCAAAATTTTTGAGAAACCACAAATGTCGTAACTAACACACAAAGTTTTGTAATAGTAATCAGAAAATGTGTAACCGCACCACTAATTGGCGTAACAAAATTGTCAAAAAAAAAATAAAAAAATTCAAACCACAAATGTTGTAACTAAGACACAAAATTTTGTAATATTAACCACGAAATATATAATCATACCACTAATTGACGTAATGAAATTTTAAGAAACTATAAATGTCGTAGCTAAGCCACAAAGTTTCGTAATATAAATCACAACATGCGTAATTTTTCACAAATTAACATAACAAAAGTGTATAAAGTTTTTAGAAACCACAAATATATCGTAACTAAGCCACAAATTTTCATAATATCAATAACAAAATCCATAATCTCCCATTAATTAATGTAACAAAATTGTCTTTAATGTTAGAAACTGCAATTGTTGCGACTAAGTTGCAAAATTTCGTAATATCAGCCATAAAATGAGTAACGTTACCACTAATTGTGGTAAGAAAATGTCAAAAAAATTTATAAACCACTAATGTCGTAACTAACTTACAACTTTCATAGCATCAACAAAAAAAATGTGTAACCTTACCGCTATTTGGCGTAACAAAAATATCCAATATTTGTGGTTCGTGTTATTTGTTTTTGTGGTATGATTCTACTTTTTATAAAAAAAGGTACATGCTTTGTGAAAGGTTATATGTTTTATTGGTAAGGTTACCCATTTTAATGATGAATATTACATATATTTATGGTCTTGTAACATAATTTATTATTTTAATATATTTTACCTATTAGTTGACCTGCTTTTTAGGTCACTAATACGTAACAAAATCTACAAAAATATATAACTAAAACCAAAATATTATATAACATAGTTGCATATGGTATGCATGTAAGAATTTTATTGAAATATAGTTTAATGTGTCTTATACATGATTATATTAGATTCATCTCATTAAGGAAGATATATGTATATCAATTATATGGTAACTAATCATTGATGAATGCATCTATATATACATAATGTATAGAAGGCTAATGGAGACAGTGTCAATGCATTGAATATGATAGATTCATTATGAATGAATTTTAGAGATGCATTATGTATCTATTATAAATGTAACATTAATCTATCTAATAAGTTCATTAATATAAAAGATGCATTATGTACCATGAATATAAAAGATATATTAATCTATTTAATAAAGTTCATTAAATGAATGGATTCTTTGATGGGAATAATACTAGTATAAACAGTGTAAGGTCCCAACCCACACTCTCCATCACAAAACTAAAATTGTCACCACAAGAAGGCTCTCATTGCCTAGAGAGAGAGAGAAGTGGTTTGAAGATCTTTGACAAATAAAGAAGTTGAAGATCAATGTTTTCTATTCAAGGTTTCTCTTTCTCAAAAGAGATTTTCATACTATCATGGATCAATGTACGTATACACTTATTTTGTATAGTTTTAATTCATATAGTTTTCATGTATAGAATTGAATCCTTAATGGTTTTTAGTTTATGTTCTGCAAAGTTTTTATCAATTGATATCAGAGCCTTTGTTCTCAATTCTGATGCATGAAACGTATAAGTATGAATTTTATTTTATGATGATGTTTTGTGTAACAAAGTGCGCATAACCTTGATTTACAATTATCGCCAATCTTTTATTTTATTGATATTAAAATAAAAATTGAAAATTATTGAACAAGTGGTAATTAAGAGAATGTCTTATGCACTTATAATGTTTTGTTACACACTTTATGAGTTGAAACATTGTTGATCAACCCAACAAAGGTTCAACACTATATATGTTTGAACAATCGAAATGATTAGTATAATAAATATAGCAATAAGTTTTTCTGCCCAACGGTGATAAACTCGTTACGGTCTTAATGATTATTTTATTTTATTTTATGTTGTTTATTTTTATTAGTCATCTTATTTACTTTTATGAATTGCTAAATATATTGTTATTCGGCCCAACGGAAGGATAACTTGATTTTGTATCTAACTAATTATATTTTCTAGTTAGATATATTTCACTTGTGGTGCTATTTTTATTCATGACATCTGAAAAGTAGATTTCTTGATTATATTATGTAATGGATATTATGTGTTTGCAGCATTGAATCCTACTGTAATTAATAGTTACTTGTCTGGTATTAAAGTTTTAAAGTGGAACTAATTTTAAGAAATGGAAGGAACAAATTGAAATTATTTTGGGAATTATGGATTTAAACTATGCATTAAAAGAGCCAGCACCTATAAAGCCTAATGATACAAGCTCTAAGGAACGCATGGCTTTATATGAAAAATGGGAATGCTCTAATCGTTTAGGTCTAATGATTATGAAAGGCTCAATTACGCTTGCAATTCAAGGAGCAATCTTTGTTTCTAAAAGTGCAGTCAGCTACAAGAAATCTATTGAAGAACAATTCATTGGAACTTCCAAATCCCTTGCTAGTACTCTCATGATTAAATTAAAATGATGACAATCAAATATGATGGTTTGAGTGGTGTTAGTGAACATAACTTAAAGATCAATGACATGGCTTCTTAATTAAAGAGAATGGATATGGAAATTTCTGAAGTTTTTCTTGTTCATTTCATTATGACTTCTTTTCCTGCACAATTTGGTCCTTTCAAGATCAATTATAATACGCAGAAAGATAAGTGGAAGATGAGCGAGTTAATTGCCATGTGTGTTCAAGAAGAAGAAAGGCTTAAAGCTGAAAAGCCTGATATGGCTCACCTTACCACCACAGGTCCAACCAAAAAGATTTTCAAGAAAGGCAAAAGTAAGAAGAAGAAGAAGAAGAATGCAAATGATGAAACCCACAAGGCTAATGAAGAAAATATGATTTGATGCCATTTCTGTCGAAAAAAAGGTCACATAAGAAAATATTGTCTAGGTTTTAAAAGTTGGTTGGACAATAAAGGTAATACTCAATGCTTTGTGTCTTATGAATCGTTTTTGGTCGATGTTCCACCAAATTCTTGGTGGATTGACATTGGTGCAAGTATTCACATAACAAATTCCATGCAGGGATACCTTACAAGTCGGAAACTAAACAAAGGAGAACGAACCATTATGATTTGGAATGGAATAGAAGTGGACGCTGAGGCTATTGGCACCCTCTGTCTAATTTTAGACTCTAGTTTCATTTTAGATTTAGTAAACACAGTTTATGTTCTTGTTTTTACTAGAAACCTAATTTCTGCTTCAGAACTTGATTCCTGTGGTTATGAATTTAAGTTTGGAAATAATAGAGTCCATTTATTCAATAATTCTCATATGATTGATTCTGGTACTTTATATGGTAATTTTTATTCATTGAATTTAGATTCTACTTATGCACAATCTCTTTTATCCTTTCATGTAAACGACTTGGTAAATAAAAAGAGAAAGCAAGTGAATGAAAATTCATCTATGTTGTGGTATAAGTGTTTGGGCCACCTATCAAGAGAAAGGATGGAACGTCTTATTAAAGACGACATTTTAAGTTCACTTATTTTTCTGATTTTAGTACTTGTGTGAATTTCATTGACGAAAAATACACAATGACAAAGAAAAATGGTGCTACTAGGACTACTGAATTATTAGACACAATTCATACTGATATATGTAGTCTTTTTATTGTTCCCACTATTTCTAGAC